AGAGAGAGAGAGAGAATCTTTCCACACCCACTTCCAACTTCAACTGCACTCCCAACGACACAATTATAAAACAAATTACTTTGTTCTTACCCATCTCTTTACTTTCCCTCACCAAATTTTCATGCCACTTTCTAGTTTCTACTCTCAAGACAAATATTTTATGCATGTCTTCAACAACTATAGAATTTGGGTCCACTTAATACGTAACTAAGCCAAAAATATTCACATGGGTGAGATTCAGGAAAGCCATGGATAGTAAGATGATCGGCGTAGAAAGCAATAGGGAAAGTGACCAAAATTTGACCCATTTCACCCCCCCATCTTTAAAATGCAAAAGAAACTTTGCCAAATTTAGGCCACGAGAAACACAAAAACCAACCCAAAGAAGCTCAACCAAGAAAACGAAAGTTTCAATCTGTTGTTTGGGAGTTTCTTTAGTAAAACCTCGTAACATTTAATTGTTGAATATAGTCGAAACCACGTTAAATTAAAAAAATATACATAATATATAGTTTGTGATATAAATATAACGTTGAAAACTATCATTTCTTTTATACCTATTAGAGAACCTCTTTTTTTTTTGTGCTAAAATTTATATTTTTTATTCAGTTTAATGTTTAGTTTACGGATGCAGAATTATTCTTAATTTACGTGTATTTTTTATGAAAAAGTACTGTAACAAATCACGAATCATGATTCAGTTTAATGTTTAGTTTACGGATTCAGAATTATAATTTAAAATTATTCTTAATTTACGTGTATTTTTTATAAAAAAAATACTATAATAAATCACGAATTATAATTCAAATCGTGTCACGAATTCTCGTACTAAAACGGCCTAAGGGAGCCAAAATTATTTGTCGATTGAATCTTCGGATCAAGACATGGGGTTCAATTCATATAGGTCAAAAATCTTGATAGCTGGACTCCACAGCGAAATTACTACAGTATCCTCCAATGGATATGATCTACTTTGTTGCGCCGAAAGAGACACCTGATAATTTTAACTGCCGACGGGGTAAAGGGGGGTATTACAGTCCTTTCACAGAAAACAGCCTTTCAGTCACGACAACATTCTGTCGCTTTCTCTGGCGTGGATGGAGGTTACGGAGGAAGAAGGACTGGTTAGTCATTTCGCTTTCTCTGCGTATTTTCTGGGCCTACCTATCTCGGTGGGTCGGGGACCACCTGACTTGAGCCGTTCCTCTCTCTGTGGGCTGGCCAGCACTCCTCGAGCCCGTACTAGGCTCGGCGGAATGTAAATTCAAACACAATTTGAGGGCATAAGAGTAAATTCGATAGATGGGCCTATTCCTAATAATCAACCATTATGGTCGTAAAATAAAAAAGGTGGAGTTCCATCTCAGTCAACCTCATTTGACCAGCTTTATCCATGCAGCAGAATTATTACTGTTTAATAATTACAAATTATTGTCATAATATCTCCTTTTTTTTTAATCTTTTTCTTTTTGTTTGTGGGGATTTTTTTTTTTTTTTTTAATTTTTGGACTTCTTCCTGACGGAAAGATTTGGAATTAAATGGGGCCCCAATTGTGACCCATTTATGTGTCTGGGCAGTGGATACTTGATTAAATACCATGGTAAAAATGGGTCCCAACTTCTTTTCCCACTCAGAAGAATATTTTCACCGTTTGATTTACTATCATTAATCAAAAAAGTGGAAATTGTACCAAAATGGGATACTAGGAGAAAAAAACTAAAACTGCCACGTTTTTGTCCTTTAGTGTTTTTTTTTTTTTTTCTAATCGTCCTTTAGCATAGTTTATGTTACATAAATTTGGCTCAATAATGTGCCTAATAGTGCCCATTTTGACGGTTTGACCGTGGAATGAAAAAACCCCACCCACCGAACCCTCCATTGGCCAATACTATCATGTAATGCTTAAAAAATATATAAGAAAATATAATTTGGAACAAACAATAGACAATATATAAACCATATGGGAAAAAGAAAAAGTAAAATTTGTTAAAGAGGATCCGAGGCTTTGTATTCCATTTTCCAACTTCCAAGAAGTGAGAGATACTTTGGTTTAATAATAAATCATAATACAATTTCCCAACAAAGAGGTGTAAATATTCTATTTCTATATAACTTTAAATTTGGGAGAATTCTACATATATATATATATATGTAAATATATAAGAAGAATTCTAATTCTATAACTTTAAATTTAGGAGAATCTAAATTAAGTTTAGGAGTTATTTGGTACATATATTCAAAACTCAAACTATAATTTTACTATAATATTTTTCTTTCACAAAAAATTTAAATAAAAAAAAAGTTTGTTAATAGTTGTCTCACAAAAAATTTGAATCAAAATTCAAATTATGGTACAATACATTAACGGCCCTTAGAATTTTAAAGCTCGTTTAATTCGCTGATTCGAGTTTTTAATTCGAGTTTAGATGTGACTTTATGTAAGAGTTTTTTACTGTAGTAAAAAAGTTTAATGTGACTGTTTTTAAAAATTTTTTATTATAACAAAACTATAATTCTAAATTCGAATCGGTGAAATAAACGAGACCTAAAAGTCATGGAGTATAAAAGTAGAGACTAGAAATGTATGGATAGCCTAAAGAAAAATGAAATAGTGCTTCTTTTGTTAGTTGCTTCATGCTTGAGTAAGAGTACATAAAAAATAAAAAATTAATGCCTTAAAAAAAAAAACCGACACTTTCTCGTTGAAATGCAATACCTTTCTTTTCTTAAAGAGCAAAATGATTTATAATTATTGAGAAGAAACGGAAGTGCGTTTGCATTTATTGCAAACAGATAATTCCAAACACACGTATTACTTTCACGAACAGAAGAAATTGGAGAGAGTCATAGTTAATGTTGTGTATACAAATAGAGCGAGATTATTGGTGGGATTATAATAAGCTTAATGACGCGTAAATTGACTGATTATTTTTGAAAGATTAAATGCTATAAGAACCAAAATTTATTATCAAATCAATGTTGTTTATGAACTTATCATTATAGACGCCGATATTTTAGTACTTTTATTTAATGTGAATGTTGGTGTTTAATGTTATTTGTGGATTTTTTTTTCTTTTTATATAAAAAAACGTTATTACGTAAGTAAACCAGAAATTTTAGTATGCAAACTCGGGTGTATATAGAAGCTAATGACTTCATATACATTTTGTTTTGGGTATGGCCAAAGGATTCACAAATCATATACACATTGTATTAAAAAAAATTAAAAAAATAAAAAAATCATATACAAATTGATCATTGACCAATCATAAGCTACCCTTTTTTCCAAGTTTGTTTGCCCTAATGTTACGGGTTATGTGGACCTAGATTTAGGCTTCAACTCTTTACAATTGGTATGTGTAATATTCTATGTTGTTGTTGTTCACGTAATAAAATATTTCTTAATGAGTCTGTAGAGTGAGTTAAAAAATTGAATAGGAAACTATGGATAATTACCAGATTGTTACGTTTTAATTGTTTGATTTTAAGACGATTATAAGAAATCTATGGATAAGTTTTTTTTAAAGTCTCGTTCACTTCGATTTGAGTTTAAAATTTAAGTTTTACTACAGTAAAAAATTCTCAGAAACAGTCACATCTAACTTTTTTATTACATTAAAAAATTTTCACGTAAAAACACATCTTAATTCAAATTTAAAATTTAAATCAGCGAACTAAACGGACCATAAAATTATTATTATAAGGAACATATATGGTACTAGCTCCGATCACAGTGACATGGCAAGTGTCGTATTTGGGGTCAAAATAAGGACTTCCAATCGAGTAGATGTGGAGACACCGTACTAGAGTTTGACGTCGAGAATCTTTAGATCCCTCTCAATCGAGTTACTATCACCTAAAGGAATTAGTTTTTAGAAACAAAAAAAAAATGCACAGTTTTGTAAAACGTTTTATATTAATGAAAAAGACACAGATAAAAAATATTATTTAAGTTGTGTTAACTTCCCAAGACCATTGTTAGGAAAAAAAATATTTAGCTCTAGTTCAGTTTACAAATTTAAGTTTTTAATTTAATTTAAGATATGATTTTATGTTAAATTTTTTGATTGTATTAGATGTGATTTTTTGTAAGAACTTTTAACTGTAGTAAAATTGAAATTGAAAACTCAAATTGGTAAAATGAACGAGGTCTTAATTTCTCAACCACCACAAAAAAAAGAATGAAGAAATAAAATGGTTTTCCATTTCTAAATTTTGACAATTGATGCATAAACTCTAAACTTAGTGATAAATTTAGTCTAATCTAATCAATTAAGGTGCATTTAATTAGTGTATTCATGTTATGATTTGAATTATAATTCATGATTTGTTATAATATTTTTTCTCATAAAAAACACACATAAATTAAAAATAATTTTAAATCATAATTTTTTATCTATGAACTAAACGTTCACTGTGTCTAAATACACACATAAGATTACACTCTTTTTTTTTTCGAACGGCAGAAGATTACACTTTAGTTATCCAATTTACCCCACTGCATAAAATATTCACTTTTTTTTTATTCCTAATGACTATTATGTCCGACGATATGAGGGACAGTTTGTAGGGAACTTGGGACTTGGATTTGAGAAAGTGCAAGTTCATAGATTCAATTATCAATTTTATGAAAATAAAATAAAATAAAATATGTACTTTTTCATGAGTGTGAATATTCTATTACCTTTTCTTCTCCAAAAGAAAAATGCACTCTCTCATATAACGTAAACCATAAACATTTTTTTATCTCCCTTTTTCAAATATAGACCAAAGTTGTGCAAATTTTCATGTTCAACTTTTTTTGTTTTTTTTGTTTTTCTGTTTGTCAAGCCTTTTTTGGCATAAAATTATGGTTGTTAAAGAGCAAGTAAGCAACCAAGCACCAACAAAAATATAGCAAAATAAAAATAGCATTTCCAATATATTAAAATTCAAGAGTAAGTAAACTAGCAATTACACCTCATATATTACAAAAAGAAAAAAAAAATCAAAATAAAAGGACGAGAATAAAAATCACGCTTTCCCACCCGCTCTAACTGGCTGGCTCTCTCTCTCATCTTCATCATCTTACTGAACTCTCACTCTTCCTCTCCATTCTAATTTCCCTTCTCTCCCTTCCAAACTCCGAACTCCAAATCCAAACAAACCCGCCAACTCAAAATGCGACTTCTCCTTCTCCTCCTCCTCCTCCTCCACCTCCGCCTCTCCCCCGCCACCGTCGCCGCCGCCCGCGCCGTCCCCGAATACAAAGCCCTCCTCTCCTTCAAAGCGGCCCTCACCGACGACCCCCAATCATCCCTCGCCACGTGGAACGCCTCCACCCTCCACTGCACCTGGTTCGGCATCACGTGCGACTCGCGACGCCACGTGACCTCCCTCGACCTATCCGGCCTCAACCTCTCCGGTTCCCTCTCTCCGGAGCTTGCCTACCTCCGGTTCCTCTCCAACGTTTCCCTCGCCGACAACCAGTTCTCCGGCCCCATCCCTGCTGAGATCTCCGCCATCTCCGGCCTCCGCCTCCTCAATCTCTCCAACAATGTCTTCAATGGCACCTTCCCCCCCGAGCTCTCTCAGCTCAAGAATCTCCAGATTCTCGACCTCTACAACAACAACATGACCGGTGATTTGCCTCTCGACGTCGTCGATTTGCCGAATCTCCGCCATTTGCACCTCGGAGGGAACTACTTCAGCGGCGCCATTCCCAAGGAGTACGGCCGCTGGGAGTTTCTCGAGTATTTGGCGGTTTCCGGTAACGAGCTGAGCGGGAAAATACCGCCGGAGATCGGAAGCCTAACGAATCTCCGGGAGCTTTACATTGGATACTACAACACCTACGAAGGCGGTTTGCCTGCCGAGATCGGTAACTTGTCGGAACTTGTACGGTTTGACGGAGCCAACTGTGCATTGTCCGGCGAGATCCCACCGGAGATAGGGAAGCTTCAGAAGCTCGACACTCTGTTTCTCCAGGTGAATGCGCTTTCCGGTTCTCTTACTCCTGAGCTTGGGAGCTTGAATAGCTTGAAGTCGATGGACTTGTCGAACAACATGCTCTCCGGCGAGATTCCGCCGTCGTTCGCGGAGCTCAAGAATCTGACGCTGTTGAATCTCTTCAGGAACAAGCTTCACGGCGCGATTCCGGAGTTCATCGGAGAGTTACCGGAGCTGGAGGTTTTGCAACTGTGGGAGAACAACTTCACAGGGAGTATACCTCAGGGTTTGGGGAGGAACGGGAAGCTTCAGCTTCTTGATCTTTCGTCGAACAAGCTCACCGGAACTCTCCCTCCCGATATGTGCTCCGGACACCGGCTTCATACTCTAATCACTCTTGGAAACTTCCTCTTCGGTCCGATCCCGGAGTCTCTCGGAAAATGCCAGTCCTTGAGTCGGATTCGAATGGGAGAAAATTTCCTCAACGGCTCGATTCCGAAAGGCCTTTTCGGTCTTCCAAAGCTCACTCAAGTCGAATTGCAGGACAATCTTCTCTCCGGAGACTTTCCGGAGTCTGACGGCACTTTTGCGGCCAATTTAGGCCAAATTAGCCTCTCCAACAACCAGCTCTCGGGGTCTTTGCCTCCGTCCATCGGAAACTTCTCCGGCGTCCAGAAACTTCTCCTCGACGGGAACAAATTCTCAGGCCGAATCCCGCCGGAGATTGGGAGGTTACAGCAAGTCTCCAAGATAGATTTCAGTCACAACAAGTTCTCTGGTCTGATCACCCCGGAGATTAGCCAATGCAAGGTCTTGACGTTCGTCGATCTCAGCCGAAACGAGCTCTCCGGTGAGATTCCGAACGAGATTACCGGTATGCGGATACTAAATTATCTCAACCTTTCCAGAAACCATCTTGTTGGCAACATCCCTTCGTCAATAGCCAGTATGCAAAGCTTAACATCTGTTGATTTTTCTTACAACAATCTCTCTGGTTTGGTCCCTGGAACGGGTCAGTTCAGTTACTTTAATTACACTTCCTTTGTTGGCAATCCTGGTCTTTGTGGCCCTTACTTGGGTGCTTGCAAAGATGGCGTTTCCGATGGTTCCCATCAATCCCATGTGAAGGGCTCGCTCTCTTCTTCTCTGAAGCTCCTTCTCGTCATTGGATTGCTCGTCTGCTCGATCGCTTTTGCCGTAGCGGCGATCATCAAAGCCCGATCTTTAAAGAAGGCCAGTGAGTCCAGAGCATGGAAATTGACAGCTTTCCAGCGTCTGGACTTCACTGTTGATGAGATTCTGGATTGCTTGAAGGAGGACAACATTATAGGCAAAGGAGGTGCTGGGATTGTCTACAAAGGGGCCATGCCTAACGGCGAAAATGTCGCCGTGAAACGACTTCCGGCGATGAGTCGCGGGTCGTCTCATGATCATGGATTCAATGCGGAGATTCAGACCCTTGGTAGAATTCGACACCGCCACATTGTTAGATTATTGGGTTTCTGCTCAAACCATGAGACTAATCTTCTGGTTTATGAGTACATGCCTAATGGAAGCTTGGGTGAAGTTCTTCATGGCAAGAAAGGTGGCCACTTGCATTGGGACACAAGGTATAAGATTGCCATTGAAGCAGCAAAAGGGCTTTGCTATCTTCACCATGACTGTTCGCCTCTTATAGTTCACAGGGATGTTAAGTCAAACAACATCCTTTTGGATTCCAGTTTTGAGGCTCATGTTGCTGATTTTGGGCTTGCCAAGTTCCTCCAAGATTCGGGAACTTCCGAGTGCATGTCCGCCATTGCTGGTTCCTACGGATATATCGCCCCTGGTATGATTTCCAATCTTGAATTTATTGTTGATTGTACTTTGCTTTGCTTTGGGGTCTCCTAGTTTTGATTATGTCAAGTACCTTTATATCCAAATACTGACTTTTGACCACATTGGTTTAGTGGAAGATGGCATTAATGTTGTTCTGCATTTTCTGTGTCATGTGATGCAATTTGACTTTGGGTGTTCAAAAAGATAACAAAGACAATCATATACTCACTTAATTAATGATTTGATTATGTCAAATAGTTTCCTGTTCAGTTTTGTCTCAGTTTTAGGCATTGAATGTAAAGTGGTTGGCCAATTACTTTGAAAGTACTTGAATCTTATGGTTTTTGACTAATAACCCACCAACTCATAAGATAATCAACACCCTTATCCATGGAAAGGAAATCAATGGAATTAACTGAAATTATATGTTTTTCTTTTGCTACAGAATATGCATACACATTGAAGGTTGATGAGAAGAGCGATGTGTATAGCTTTGGTGTAGTCCTTTTGGAACTTGTGAGTGGAAGGAAACCAGTTGGGGAATTTGGAGATGGTGTAGACATAGTTCAATGGGTTAGAAAAATGACAGACTCAAACAAGGAAGGAGTCCTCAAAATCCTTGACCCAAGACTCCCTTCCGTTCCGATCCATGAAGTAATGCACGTATTCTACGTTGCAATGCTGTGTGTGGAAGAACAAGCGGTTGAGCGCCCGACAATGCGGGAAGTTGTTCAAATCCTAACCGAGCTTCCTAAGCCACCAGGCTCAAAACAAGGTGACTCAACAACAATCACAGAGTCTTCTCCTCCACCTGTCGGCGGATACGACTCTTCTCCGACCACGGTGACAAAAGACAATCAACAGTCAACACCACAGCCTCCGCAATCATCACCGCCCGATCTTCTCAGCATTTGATACAAAGGGGGTCAATTTGTTGGAGGGAAAAAAAAAAAAAAAGGGGAAGTGTTTGCTTTAAGTTCCTATTTTAGCTTTCTAGTTTCTGTGTCTCTTATTTTACCTCTATTTTGGGGCGGGGGATATGTTTGCTCTAACTTTAAGGTATTAATCTTGTTTATTTTTTCTCTGCTGTACAGTAGGATTGGTGGGGGTACTTTTTTTTTTTTTTTTTGTTACCAAGTGTAGTAGGATTGGCTGCTTCACACTCTGCCTTTCTGTTTATGGCACATCAGTTACTGTTACAGGCTAGCCTCGCCTTGCTTACAATGCCAAGACAGTGAGTGAAAACATCAAGGAAAAGAAGTCAGTAGTGCTTTTTAAAGAGTGTTTTTATGACTTTTGAGAGTAATAGGTTTGAAAGAGACAAATGGCTTTGGGTTGGGTGTAGAAAACTGTGTTTGTGGTTTTATTTTTATATAAAAAATAAGTATTTAATTTGAACCCCAGAATCGACAAGCAGCACAGATAAGAGTAGTAGCTTTCAATTACCGAGACTATTGGGGTTCTCTGAATTCTCAAAAGAACTGATGATAATCATAAAACTATTTGGCTGGTGCACTATTATTATGATTCAGGAGTCAGTACTCTGTTTTGGATTACAAATTGAATTCACATTAAATTCAAGGAAAAGATTAGCGCAAAATTTAAATAGGATTACTTACAAAAAATTTCTCTTAAACTATATTTTTTTTATAGCACTTTGCTTCATAATTTTTAAAACATGACTTCTATTCTCCTAAATAATAAAAGCTTCGTTCATTTCATCGATTCGAGTTTTTAATTTTATGTTTCTACAGTAAAAAGCTCTCAGAAAATGTTACATCTAATTTTTTCTGTTACAGTGAAAAACTCTCAAAAAATGTCACATATAACTTGTTATTATAGGATACTTTAGTAGTTTTATGATTTAAAATTTAGTTTGAATTTAAAACTAATTTAAATTACTTTTAATTATGATATTATTGATAGAATATAATTTAAAAATTTTATGTATCTTTTTTTGGTAGAATAAAAAAGTTAGAAAGTTTTTTTAATATTTAAATTATTTTAAATTTAAATTAAATTTTGAATCATAAAATTACTAAAATACCTTCAAAATAGAAAATTAAATGTCAATTTTGGTTAAAAACCTAATAGATGAGATTTTTTTGTTAACATTTTCATTGTTCATGAAAACAGATGGTACATTTTAAATATTAGGGGACAAAGTGTTACACGAGGTATAGTTCAAGTGAAATTTTAGTAATTAATCTATTTAAATTTTTGTGAGAGAAAATACCGTAACGAATTGAATTATAATTAATAGACCTGTATATTTTTCGCCTGGAAACCAAGCTGAAGTTTCAATTGATGCCATAGGAGGGAAAGAAAATTAAATGAGGGTTCAATTTTCGGTTTGAGGACAGATGAAGAAATGGCATTTGTCTGGTCTTGTTTAGTTGGACCCACAAAAGGGTTTTTGCACACACAGTTGGTGCACTTTGTTCACATGCAATGCAAAATTGGAGTTGAGAAAAGTTCCTCAAATGCCTGAAATTTTTTTTCGGATAATAGGTGAGATATTGTCTTTTTGTTGCTCAACTTGTGATTCTCAACTAATTATTTATGAGACGAGATTCAATTTTCCCTGTAATGTCTTAATTACATCTTTCCAAAAAGTGGCAAACCTTTTGTTGTGGTGCTTTCTCGAGCAATATTGGTCATGTGGTGTGGGAAGTCATTTTGAACTTTAGTTGTTGAATATTATCTAATAATAATAATAATAATAATAAAGATGTGTAAATAGAATAAAGTATCAAGTTAGGCAAATCCCATATTGTTCTGTTTCAATATTTTTAAGATGCCGTGACATAAACCCATATTCCCTTGTCCTGTTTGGTAGAGTTTGTTGTATCTTTTGTTTCTTCATACGTAGTTTTATTTATTTATTTATTTGCCTTGAATGTTTTATATTTTTTTCTTTTGAATGTTTTTTTTTGAATTCAAAGATTTGACAACCCAAGGACTGATTGATAATTGCATGAAGCATCCTCTGATTGACGTGGTATGTCCCATCTTGTAAGAGTGTGGGCCAGAAATGCCATATTTTAGGCTTTTTTGGGTGCGTTTGATTGATGATCGGTTATACACGAGTTAGATTGCACCACCTAATGGAGACTTCGAGTGAGAAATTGCGTTTGGTTTGTTTGATTTAAATTTTTTTGATTTAAACAGAAAATTTTAAATTATATTATTTAAATTGTAATTTAAATTGACATTTAAATATGTAGTTAAAGTTTTAATTTGAATATTTAATAAAATTTAAATTTGTGTTTAGTAAGTGTGAAAAGTAAAAAGGATTGTCACTTTTTTACTGTTCAAAAATATTTGAACGGTTAAACTTGAGGGGACGCTAAACTCTAAGTTTGACTGTCAAACTCAACTTAAATGAAAAGTATAATTCAAACTATATGCTTACTAAATATCAGTTCAAACTGTGCTTACTTTTCAAATTAAATTGAACTGAACTAAACCAGTGAAACAAACAGAGACTTCAATCCTTCAATGTACCTTGCTACCATTTCAATGTTTCAATTTGAATGTCATGAAGAAGCTGGGAAACAAATTTGCCAACTTTTTAACGTTTGGAATTAGTTGATCCTCTTTTAGGGAACATTTTGAGGATGATCCTCTTTAAGCCTGTTATCCTCTCTCATGTTCAATTTGGATACAGACATTAGTTTACAGTAAAAAGTGTATTCAGCCTAGAACGCGGCTATAAAATATTTCAAGGGTCCCGTATGGTTTCTTTGCTGCACGTAGTCTAAAAATCTGTTGTAACTCCGCAAATACATCCGTTTAGTTTATTGATTCGAGTCGAGATGTTATAACTTTATGTAAGAGTTTTTTACTGTAGTAAAAAAATTATAAGATGTGATTGTTTTTAATAGCTTTTTACTGTAACAAAACTCAAATTCTAAATTTGAATAGGTAAAATGAACGGGGTCTAAATATGATAATTCTGATGTTCGAAATTCGCAAATTCTAATGTGAAATACACATATTATCTTGTTTTCAGCACAGTGCCGGAATCCTAAGAATTCTTTTCCTGCGACACCATAAAAGTTCCTTTTTTTTTTTTTTTTTCAAACAATGCTATTTTACGTTTAATTATCAAACCACATATATAGGTGGCATCATTAATGAAATATTGCTATATAGTGTTCTCATAATTCTTATAATATACAAGACATTTTTTCCTTTTTAGACTAACTTTTTATTTTAGGAGGAGTAAGCATTGTTTAACAACAATATTTTGCATATTCATCAAAACATATGAAGTTCAGAGGAAAATAGATATGTCGTGCATGAAAATTCTTACATTACGATGTCAAACGTAAATATATCGATCATATACATCATGCTATATGATATATATGATCGATACATATATATTTTGCTGATCAATCGATATATATATATATATATATATATATATATAACTTGAAAGAGTATCTTTTTGTTGTGTGGTTGTTTTGGTTAATTGAACAAAACAATATTCACACTACTCATTTATATATAATGCACATATATAGATGTATGTTTACTCATATATACATTTTTTTTTTTCAAAAGATTTACCCAGAAGATAATTTATAAACCCTGCAATGCATTCATTGCAGATACTCCTAGAAGTCATTGATAACAATAAATCCCCTTCTCCACATCTATTTATTTAATTCTTTGTATCTGATAATATCATCTTCTTCTTTTTTTTTTTTTTTTTTTTTTTTTTTTTTTTTTTTTTTTTTTTGTGTGGTAGTAGTATACACTAGTTCTAATCACACATCAGACCCAAAAAAAAAAGATGTTTACAGTGCAGAATTCAAAACAAGACAAAAGCTATTAAATGTTTTCTTTGAATTCTTCCAAAATGAATCTGCCTAATAGGTTGAATATGGAGATTAGAATCCAGCATATTAAAAGATATAATTGTAAAATAATTGGTAGGTTAAAAGGAAAAAGATGACCTAACCCACTACCTAACCACACTCGTAACAAACAAAGCTCTCCCCGTCTACTTTTGTTTGGTTTCGGACATCTTTTGGTCATTTTTCATTAACTTTTAATTCAATTGTTTTGAACATATGGAATTGGACGGAAGGGCTTCATTTGCTACGGACCAAAGATTGGAGTACTAAATAGTGCGGTTTCAAGTTTAAGGGATAAGGGGTCAGTTTGGGGTTACTGTGTTTTTAAAATAATTATTGTCCTTTTAATATAAGTATTTTTTATTTAAAACAAAAACAAAAGTAGAATTTAAAAGCTACATATACTAACTTCTCAAAATAATTTAAAAATGTATTGATTTATGTACAAAGTGTTTTTGTACACTTTTACCAAACACTATGGTCGTGTTTAGGAGTGATCTCGTTTTTATTTTTCACGTTTTTTAAAAAAGAAAAAATGAAACATTTTCAAAACGGCGTTTGGGGCAATAAAAACAAAAAATAAAATGAAAACGATTTTTTAATTTAGTGTAAAATGAGAGAAAAATGAAAAACGATTTTTAGTCATTTTTCATTTTCATTTTCTCCTCTCTCGAGCACATAGATAGATATATATATATTAATGAATTTTTTTATACTGAAAATAATCTCTTAATAAAACTACCAAACGCATTTTCAAAAATAATTTCTGTCTTAGATTGAAAATGTTTTCATTTTTATTTTCATACAAAAAATAAAATTATTTTAAAACGAGTTTCAAACGCACTCTATAATTACATTATTTATTATACAAAATACTTTTGGGAGTTTAAAAAACAATCCTAAACACACCTAAAGGGTTTGACAAAATTCGGAGGCGTTTCTAAGCTGAGAATGATGGAGGATTGAAGACACCTAACCATAGGACGACAACATAGATTTTTTTTTTTTTAATTATTTTTTTAGGTAAACAACAGAGAAATTGATCATTGCTAAATGATTTTTGGATGACTAGGGCTTGAACTTACTAGTCTAGAAACACCAAATAAAAGAATGACAAATAGAGAAAAAGAAAACAACAAGAGATTATTGTAATTTCTCAACAGGGGAAGGAAATAAAAAAGAAAATAAAGGTAAAAAAGAGGTTTATTCGAGAGTGATCCTATTTGAATTATGTGGGAAGTGCTAAAAAAAATGTAAGGAGAATAATAATATATATGATACCAATTTTAGTGTAAAACAATGAATAAAGTTAAAAGCTTGGAAAGGAAAAATCGGTCCCAAAAGGACAAAAAACTTTTTACAAAAATCCAATCTAACATACGACTCCATTGGAGTGCTAACTTTTCCTTGTATAAGCAATCACCTGCCCCTTCACGTCCATCCATCCATTTTTTCCCCCTCAATTTATCAATTTTCCTGAAATTTTAATCTGCTGATATATATTTTCAGTATTATCACTATAAATATATTTTTGTCTTTTTGCTAGCCTTTCGCAATGAAAGGACAGTATAGAATAAAAGTAGAAATGTAATAAGAATTTCATGGATATAGAATTTTTCTGTCTTTATTTCCTCT